TTGGCCTCTTGGGGCCCTATGGGGGGGCCTCTTGGAGGCCTCTTGGAGCGTCTTGGGGGCCTCTTTGGCCGTCTTGGGTTTATCTTGGGGGTCTCCTGGGGCCTCTTGGCGCCCCTTTGGGGCCTCCCGGGGCCCTGTGGAGGCGGGAGGCTCGAATTTCCGGTTCGCGGTTCCCCTCTTGGAGCCCTCTTGGGGCCGTCTTGGGCCTCTCTTCGCCCGTCTTGGGCGCGTCTTGGGCCGTCTTGGAGCCCTCCAGAGCCGTCTTGAGGGCCTCTTGAAGGCCTCTTGGGCTGACGTGGGGCGTCTGCGGGAGGCCTGCGAGCCGTCGTGGAGCGTCGGAGAGCTGAAAAGGCGGGAAAGGCAAAATGTGTCCAAAATCTTAGTAAAATGCACGATGTTGGCCTCTCGGGACTCCCTGGGGGGGCCTCTTGGAGGCCTCTTGGAGCGTCTTGGGGGCCTCTTTGGCCGTCTTGGGTTTATCTTGGGGCCCTCTTGGCGCCCTCTTGGGCCGTCTGGGAGCCATCTTGGGCGTCTTGGACCGATCGTAAGCGTCTCGAGGCACGCTTGGACCGTTTTCGGCGCCTCTTGGGCCAGACAAGGGCGCTCCTGGAGGCCCGATCCTCCCATGGGGGGTTGCGGTCCCGGCCAGGGAGCCCCCGGCCCTGTAGCCCGGTATGTATGTATGTATATATATATATATATACACACACACACACCAAATCCCCCGCAGTTGCAGGTGCGAGCGAAGGGGGGGGTCGCCGGCACTGCGTGAGGCTCTGGAGGGGCCCGCCGCAGTCGTCGACTAGTTGTAGAAGTTGCGCAGCGTGCCCGCCGCCGCAGGCGCCGCATTCTCGACAAAGCAATGTGGGACGGCCGCGGATGGGTCACGGGTGGGTCGCTGGTGGGTCGCAGGTGGGTCGTGGGCGGGTGGGTCGCAAGGTTGGTGGCGGGTGGGTCAACGGGTGGATCGCGGGGTGGGTCGCGGGAAGGGTCGCGGGCTGGGTCGCGGGCTGGGTCGCGGGCTAGGTCACGGGTGGGTCGCGGGTTGATCGCCTGCGGGTCGCCGGTGGGTCGCGCGCGGGACGGAGACAACTACGCAACGCAACACACTGCTACGCAACGAGCCGAAATCACGCCGCGGAACTCAGCTTCATCCGCGCAGCCGCAGCCAGGGACAATGAATGCCTGTTCGACCCCCGCACCCTGATAGATACACATACGCCATGTTTGCATATTATATATAGATGTATGTGTACGCGTGCATGACTGCATTCATGTATGCATGTATACGTGTATACAGGTATGCGCGCATGCATGTATGATATGCATGGCTACACGTTTACATGTATGCACGTATGCATGTAGGCATGAATGCATGTGTACATGTATACGTGTATACATGTATGCGTGTACGCATGAATGCATGTGCGTACGTATGCATGCATCAATATACATAGGCGCGTATGCGTGCATGTATACATGTATGTATGTATGCGCATGCGCATGTAGATATGCGCATACATGCGTGCATGTGTTAGTGCATGTCTGTATGTATGTATGTATGCATACAGGCATTTATGTATAGTTATGCGTGTCTATATGCAGGATTGGATGCATGCGTGCACGTACGTATGCATGCATGTAGGTACATGTTTGTGTATACGCCTGTGTAACAGGTGTTGGATCTCATTGCGTAGCTGTATACGCATGTGTGCGTATACGTATACGCAATGGGTGTTGACATTTATATGTAGGTATCTGCATGTGAGTAGGTATGTGTGTATGTACGCATGCATGTATGGTTGTATGTGTGTATACCACTAGTGCCCGGAAGGCGGGACGGAAAAGGCGCAGCCTCGGAAGTCGTAGTAGATGAGCGGGCCGAGCCCGTTCCCCCTGGAAGTTCAAGGCCACCAGGATGCCCGCCCGAGGTAATCGAAACCGACAAAGAAGTTGCAAAAAACTTCCCTGGCCACGTGGGTTCGCGCACGTCTTCGGCTCCTCCTCCGAATCTGCGACCAGGGAGTAGGGTTTGATCAGCTTGCAGCCGTCAATACCTAAGAACTCCACCTGGACCCTCTCTCCGACGAAGCCACGGACGCAGCCCGCCAGCCCATTCAAAACCGGCGTGGCGAGGCCGTGCGGGCGCACCAAGTCACCCACCTTGAGGTTGTAGCCCTCGCACTCGGGGGGGGGCTCGGGGCCGCCGCTTGTGGGAGTCAAAGGCGTCACATTCCCACACTTGGTCGCAAGAGCCTGGGCCCGCATCTCCAGCATGCTTAGAAATTTCTCAGCAGCGGCGGTCGCAACTGACGAACACCGATCGGCAAGGGTCCGCCGTTGAACCGTGACTGTGTCGGTCAGCTCCATCTTCAGGGTGCCCAACGGAGACTCCAGAGATTTGCTGGAAGCAACCAGAACGTGCGACTTCATTTCCTCTGGATTGGGCGGCACCCGAAGGTTGAGCGAAACCTCGACCGCCACGGCGAGGTCAGCACGAAGCTGAGTGACCTGCGACACCACTGCAAAGGTTTTGTCATCCACGCAGGCCTGCAGGACCGAATAAGAAAAATTAGGAAGAGCCGCCGTCTTCAGCTGCTCCAGCTCCTGAATCAACGGAGCGATCGTGCAGTTATGAGCGTCGTTCAGCAGCTGCACAGAAGACTGTCCACTGCAAGCCGAATTGAATCCCTGGGAGTGGGTGCCTGGCCTGCCGCAAGGGCCCGGGCCAGGCTCAGCCAAGGCAGATGAATCACCAGCGATGTGATGGAAGTGCCCACTGCAAACAGATTTGAATCCCAAAGAATGGGCGCATTGTTTGCAGCATGGGCGTGGGCCGGGCTCAGCCAAATCACGACAACAGCGTGGCAGCTTATAGCGAGGAACCACGACCTTGCCACGATCACCAGTACCATACACAAGCGAATTATTGCCACCAGCGTAGCGAGCATCCTGAAGCACGAATTCAGCGGCCAGAGGGTTGAACTGAGATGCTGCAGGAAGCAAGCCTCGCCCACGAGAAAGGGAGTCGGAAATGCTGATAATGCAAAGTCCCGAGCGCTCAAAAGAAGGCTCGTCCACCGGCAACTTACCATGCCCACTCCTTCGCCGCCTGCGGCGCCCGCAGAAAGATGGAAGGAAGCAGAAGCATTGAGAATGTTTCGCCGCACCTTCAAAGCCAGGCGAAAGATGGGAGCAGGAGTGAGACCGCGAAGAACAAGAATCGCTTCACATGTGGAATGAAATTCCCGTCCAACAGCCGCCGCCGCACACGAGCGAATCGCAAGTTGCAAACCAATCAATAAAAGACAATATGGGATCGAAGAGAAGCCTGCAGCGAAACAGAGGCAGAACGATAGCGCCACGTCAGCAGCCCACAGGCAGCATTGCGGGGACACGCGGAGGGCCACGCCGAGCACATGTGAATTGCGCATCGACATGTTGGCAAGCCTGACTTGAGCAAAAATTGTTACGGAGGTTGTATGTGTATATGCACGCATGCATGTACGCATGTGTGCGTGCATGTCTGTCTGCATGCATGCATGTATGTATGCATGTCTGGATGCACGAATGCATGTGTTCATGCATGCATGAATGTATATATGAATGCAGGAATGTATGTATGCATGCATGTATGTATGTAAATGCGTGTGCATGCATGCGTGCATGGATGCACGTTTGCAACTACGTGTGTCTGTCTGCCTGCCTGCCTGCCTGCTTGCCTGTCTGTCTACCTCTGCTTGCTTGTTTGTATGTAGAAATGGCTGCATGTGTGCGTGCGCGTACATTAATATATCGCTCGTGCTTCCGCGGCGCACAGTGCCCAGTTGATCACTGCAAAGCCTTGCGAGTTGATAAGAAGAGCGCCCTCGCAGCACGGGCGCTGTCCTCGGTCGCTTCAGGTAGCGACCACCTTATAATGGGAAATTTCGCCTGTATGCTGTACCCATGAAAAGCAGTGGCCGTGCGCTCTAGTGCACCACGCTGAGGGTGCTCGTATGATTTTCAGCTGCAGAGGCCCACATGAGCTAAAACTGACTGCGGGTAGCGCAGCTGCGAGTGTCACACTGCGCATACTGTATGCCAAAGATGTGGGCAGCGACTGTAGTGAGCCATGGGGTCTGAGGCGCGAGCGTCCTCGGATTGGCGGCAGCCGAAAACACAAGGGCTGCATACGCCACCCGAGTGAAGGCGACGGCTCGTGGTCCATCCCCCCACCCAAGTCTTGAGAAGGGCCGAGTGAGCAACGGGCGAAAAGCCCGACACGAGCAACTCTTCGAGCGGCCCCCATTCAATCTGCGAAAGCGAAAAAGATTCGTCTGAGTTCGACCAGGAGTTGGGACGAGAGAGACAGGTCACAGGCAGGCGGCCAGGGAGGAGCGAGGAGACGAGGTGGGAGTGCACAAACTTCCGCATGCGCAGGCGAGCGGTAAAACATTCGGCCAGAAAGGCGGGCCTCCTCCTCTTTCCACTCACCCAGCGCTGTGCCGCAGGCCGCGGCCAGCGCGCGGTTCCTTTCTTGTCGTTGGGGAACCCTGCGCCGCTTCCTCGAGAGCGTGGGCGATCGGCTTCGACTTCCAGTGGAGCGGGGCAAACAAGCCGAACGCGCGGGCGTGGAACGAGAGGCCGATCCCCGCTGCGTCGCGCAGGCGCCGAGCCCAAAACGGCCAGTTCAGAACTGAGCCAGCGGCACTGCGCACCAGTAGATAATCCCGAGGTAGAGCTTGTGGGGGCAGGTGCCAGACGCGATGCAGCGCCCAGCTTTCTTTCTTCTTTATCTTCTGCGGCCGCGCGAAGAGCTGGCTGAGGTACGAGGTCTTGCTTGCCGCTCGTTGGCTGTAGAGCATCAGCGAGGTGCTGGTCGGGGCCCCGACGTCGGCGATTAGGTTGGTGGAACGCTGCCTGCCGAGGATTACCTTCTTCCACCTGTGTCCATCATCAGCACTGGGGCCCAGCAACACACCCAGGTACTCTGCCATGTCCGCGATCGTCATGCCACTTCATCGAGGTACAAGCTCGGCGATCTTGGCGTCAACCCTGTCCTCCACCGCTGGTGCGAATGCCTCCGTCAGCGGGGGGATCTTACACTTCGCCGCTTCAGCGCTAGGCGCGCCGGGAGTCTCCGCCGCATAGAACACCCTGCTCAGAGGACGGAGCATCTTCAACGACGGGAGGACGCAGCCCACGTCGTCAGCGCAGACGCCGATGACCGCGCCCTTGAAGTTCGCCGCCCGCGAGCGCATGCCCCTGGTCAGCGGGCCCACGCCGACCGCCCACAGCGTCCCCGACCAGGGGCACCCCTGGAGAATGCCCGAGAAGAGGGCGCAGAAATCTCGCTGGCGCCCGCGAGGTTGGCGAAGGCGGCAGGCAGGAGGTAGATCGCTTCAATCATGTTGCGGATGCCCTCGGGGAAGTCAGCTTTGCCCAGCGCAATTTTGAGCCGTGTTCTGCACGCCGATGGAAACGCATCACCGAAGCCGTGGAGCACCATCAGCTGATCTTTGCTCGCCAGGTCATCCTGCGTGGCGACAATGCGGGACTGTGCATCCATAGCCACCGCGCGTTCGATGAAGCGCCGCTTCGGGGGGGAGCCTTTTCTGCGAACCGTGGGCCTCTTTCGCGACGATTGGCTTCATCAACTCGTTGCCCATGGCAGCCACAATCTTGCAGTCCGTGTTCTTCAGAGAGAAGGGTCTCGTAGCCTTGGCCAGCCTGGAAGCCGTTATCCCATCATCAGGTCCCGATCCGTTCGGAGTGAATATCATGAGCGAATCGTTGAAGCCCAGCGGCACGGGAAAACCTTTCATTACCCCGAGCGACACCTCGAGCAGGAGCTGCGCCGAGGAGGGAATGCGCTTCCAGGCTGTGCACTGCATACCGTCAGGACCTGGAGCCGAGTTGTTGAGCCCGCGCATGAGGTTCTGCAGTTTGCCCAGCGTCGGGATGTCCATCTGGGGGCAGTCGTAGGGGATGCTGTGCTTGTCCAAATAGCGGCTAACGTGCTTGGCGTGGCTCGGTTTCACCTGAAACACAGGAGACCATTGGCGCCGAAGCTCGGCAATCATGTCTTCAGGCTTTTCAATGGCGCTGTGGTCGTGCAGGACCTCGATGGCCTTGAGCTTCAGCACTTTGCCAGTGGGGGCCCAGAGCGCGCCGCGTTCCTGGGTCGCCCTCTGCATATTGCAGAGGCGTTGTCTCTTGAGGTAGTGGGCGTCCCTCGCATGCTCCTCCGGCTGCAGGGCCTCCGCGCGCTGGTCCAAGTATTCCTGCTGATGCTGCTCGAAAGTGCGGCGGACGGTCCCAGGCTCGATTAGCGCGATGTTGTTGCTGCCAGATGCCCAGGAACTTCGCGCCTGGCTTCGCGCGAGCAGGCAGTGTGCGAGCACTCTTCCAATCATTCCTCCATGCGGCCCTTGAGATCGCCCTGCGCGTCGTCGGGGCAGCCGCCGAGCAGGGGGCGCGTGCGTCTGTCACGTCGTTGCGCGTCAGCCTGGCCGCCTCGCGAATGAGGCGCTTGTATTCCTTGAGGCGGATGAAGTGTGGGTAGTTGCCCACGTCAGCAGCGCCGCGCAGCAGGTCGAAGCATTTGGTGCAGAGGGGGGCTCTCGAAGATGCACTGCGGGATCGGCTGCCGCTCGCTGTCCTCGGGAGCACGCGCTGCGAGCCGAAGGTGCACTGGGGCGCGGTCGGAAATGCCCCTGTCGAAGAGGGTGTCAGGCGCCGCGGGGATGCCCACATTCGCGCGCCGCTGGATCAGCAGCCACGGCGGCGAGCTGATGTAGATCTTGTCAATCCGCGCGCACTGCTGCGAGTGCTCGGTGTAGCGCGTCGGTAACTCAGGGCCCACCTCGACCATGTCACCCAGAGCTTGTTCCCAAAGCAGCGGGTGTTCTGGGCGGTGATTTCGCCGACGAGGAAGGCCTTTGTTGACCAGCGGCGCTGTCAGCTCAAGCGGAACCTCATCCATGAAGTTGAAGTCACCCATGACGAGCACGGTGACCCGCTCCGGTTGTTGTTCGGCAGTGCTGAGCTCGGCACGGATCGCGCCCCTCGTGCGCTGGACCTGGTCCGCAGTGAGCTGGAAGTTGTGGGCGTCGTAGATCACGATCATGTTGGGGAGCGCCCCCGCTGCAGCACCGAGTGCATCCGACTTGATTTGTAGGCGCTGGACACGACCAAGGATGGGCTCCGAGCGACGGAATCGATCAGGGTCAGCAGCTTCGGTCGGCGATAGCCCAGGAATGAGCAACGCGACACCGCCAGCACCCCGATTGGGGATGGAGACGAAGCATGCCGCTGTCTTGTGTGCGTGGTGAATCTCGTGGTTAAGCTCCGCCTCTGAGCCGTGGACCTCCTGCAACGCCAGCGCCGCCGTGGAGTTCATCACCTGCAACATGAATGAGATCTTCTTCTCCCTCTTGATGGGGCCCCTGCACTGTAGCGCCCGAGTTCCATGTTGTGAAAGAAATCTGCTTCGACGAGTTTGTGCCCCGCCAAGGGGCTAACGCCCTGTTAAATCTGCCACTGGGCGTTCTGTGCGTCAAGCGAGGTCTGGAAGAATTGTTCGAACTGCGCGCGGACCTCCTCTCGGTCGAGGCCGTGCTGAAGGCAGCCGCTGCAAATGAAGAGCAAACGGGGGCTCGTCTTTCGCGGCCCCCACCACGATGGAGAGGACTGGCACATTGTTGCAATGCACAATGCCCTGCCGACGGCAACTTCGCCACCGCTTCGTGGCATCTTGTGCTTTACAGAATTGGGCGGGCTTCTTGGCCTGGAATCCCCTCCGCGCCGTTTTCCCTGAACGGTCGAGGCCGGAGAAAAGTCTTGTAGATTGTTCATGAATGCTTTGAACTTCTGCGTTGATCCATTCGCACTCGGGACCTTTGAGCTCGCTGTAGAAGGCCCTGACCTTCCGAGCAGATGCGTTGGCATCACCACTGAATTGAATGAGGAAGCGCCTAGCTGGGCTCTTCCCGACCACCTCCCAGTCGCCTTCGTTGAGGTCACACCTATCCATGATCGGTTTGATGCTGTGCTTGAGCTGGTCCGCTGTGTAATTCCCCGACGCAGTGCCGACGATGATGCTGGTGTCTGCCGCTCTGTCCCGCTCAATGAGGTTCTCGTAATCTTTGATCGGGATCTGCGCTTCTTGCATGTGCAGCCGCTGTCGCATTTCTGCAACTTGAGCACGTAATTCTCGTTGGTCTGCAGCTTGGTCGAGGCGGCCTGGAGCGACTGGATCTGCCCTGTGAACTTGTTCGTTTTGCTTCTGCTGCTGACCGACGACCGCGCCCAGAGGACCTCTGAGCTGCGTTGCGAACTCTGCGATGACCTCTTGTTTGACTGTGGCCAGCTTCGCGTCGAGCTGCGCCGTGAGGAAGTCCTGCGAGGCTCTGATGGCGGCGTTGACGGCGTCCATGGGGTCGAGCAGCTCGGAGGAGGTGGAGGCGTTGGAGGCGGCGCTCCTTTCTGTAGCTGCGTCAGCACGGAGTCGCTTGGAACCTTCAGCTGCAGCGCGGGAGAGAGCAGCCGATTCTCTCCACGGGTCGTGCTGATGGACGGCATCTGATTGACGATCACCTGCGCGCTGAGACGGTTCTTCGCTCGCATCAGCACCAGAGGGTTGGTGGGCAGCAGCAGCAAGGTCAGCAGCGCCAACTCCACGACGAGCCGCCATTCGCGGGAACCACTGGGTGCCTGGGGCTGACCAGGTCTTGGAATATGGATGCCAGGGGCGGACCTGGACTTCTGGATACGGATGCCAGGGGCGGACCTGGACTTGGAGCGGATGCCAAGGGCGGTCCTGGACTTGGAGACAGCTGGATCTCGGGTTGGGAGCCTACCCCGTGAAGGCAGTTCTGGAGGGTCAGCCATGTGGCTTGAGCCAAACTGGCTACGGACACGTACATTCTTATATACATGAACATATGGGAGAACGCGTTTCACGGGTGCTTGCCTTGGCAACAATCGGCAGAGAGGGTGGGCCTCTCCCCAACACTCGGCGGCGCCGATCAAAACCGTGGGGACTCCCCTCCCCCCCAAGCACCCCCCCCTCCCGAACCCCCCCCCCCTCCCAAGGGGGGGGCGGCGCCCGCGCCAGCGCCGGCGATGGCAGCCGCCAGCAGCGCCCACGGCGGGAACGCAGCGACGAGGACCAAAGGCAGCCCAAAGGGGGCGGGGGCTTCCAAACCCCCCCCGTGACGCTGGGGGGGGGGTTCAAACCCCCTTTCCCCCCCACCTCCCCCTCGCTGGCGGCGGCCAGCAGCGCCGGCGCTGGCGCCGGCGCCGGCGGGGACGCAGCGACGACTACCACCACTACACCACCTCCACTACCACCACCACCATCGCCTCAACCCACCACCACCACCACCATCAACAGCACCACACAACCACAGCCACCACCATCACAACAACCACCACCACCACAACTCACCATCACCACCACCACAACAATAAAAACCCACCACCACTACCACCACCACCAATCTACCACACCACCACCACCGCCGCAACCACCACCACTACCAGCAGCACAACCCAACGCCACCACCACAAACAACCACACCACCACCACCACCACCGCCACCACCACCACCACAACGAACGTCCACAAACAACCGCCACCACCACAACCCACCACCACCACCACCACAAACCACCACAAACCACCACCACACCACCATAACCAACACAACCAACACAACTCCCCATCACCACCACCACCACCACAAACACCCACCACCACTACCGACACAACCACCACAATCTACCACACCACCACCACCCCCACCGCCACAACCACCACCACTACCAGCAGCGCAACCCACCACCACCACCACAAACCACCACCACCACCGCCACCACCACAACCACCACCACCACCACCACCACCACACCACCACCTCCACAAAACCCCCACAACCACACCCCACCACCATCACCACCAAAACCACCACCACACCACCACCAAACCACTACCACCACCACCACTGCAACCCACCACCACCACCACACACCACCACCACCACCACCACCACCACCACCACCACCACCACCACCACCACCACCACCACCACCCACCGCCACAATCACCACGACCACAACAAACCACCACACCACCACCACCACAACCACCACCACCACCACCACGCTTGGAGGCGGGGGAGTTGGAACTGGACCCCCTTCCCTGGATGGAGGGGGGGGTTCGAACCCCGCCCCCCCTCCGTCACGGGAGGGGGGGGGTTCGAACCACCCCCACCCTCCATTCAGGGGGGGGGTCCGGTTCCAACCCCCCCACCCCTCCAAGCGACCACAGAGCGAGCTCTTTCGAACACACACACACATACACATATATATATATATATATGGCTATATATATATGTATATGTATGTATGTGTGTATGTATGTATGTATGCATGCATGCATGCATGTATGTATGTATGTATGTATGTATGTATACATATATATATATATATGTGAGTCTGCAGGTGCACATGCAGCAGTAAGTGAACATGACCATGTTGTGCAGGGGCATGCGTTTCTGAAGATAGGCATTCGACATATGTACATGTACACACATACGTGGCTGTGTACGTTGAGGTGTATCTGTGCACGTGTCCATTCTGAAACGTGCTAAACCTTTGAATCACCTGCCTGTCGCAGATGGCGCAGAAATGCGTAAATGTAGGCCCTGGATACAGGTCCGATAGAGCCAGGGATGCTAAATTAATGCGCAACAACAGATCATCATGTGGGGTGGGGGTCAAAGAGAATGGGTGGAAAGAAACTCGCAACAAGAGGACGGACCGTCCACGATGGCAACCCGCTCCTCGGAATCGAGACCATGGACCTGAGAGCAAATTCGACGAGGGAGACATCCATGTGCTGCACAACTGCACGTGTGTACGGAACATGCTCCCAACCATCAATTCCGAAGCTGAATCAACACGCGGCCCTCGGCAGCATAATCGAATGCTGGAGGTGATGCACAATGACGGTGGTACACTGTGCCGAATGGATCTTCGTGTCCTCCGTTACGATGGCTGGTTCCGATCAGGAACTCCTGCTCTCTTGTGCGCATGGGGTCCCTGGTGGAACCCAGTGGAGCGTGCCTTAATTCGATCAACTCGCCATCGAACGGGCGTCCATTCCGCCTGCATTGTTCGGTTTCTTGCGAGTCTTTCGCAAGATGACCTCAAATGCTCCTCGATTGTCTTTGCCGAAGAAAGGAGCACGTCCGAGAGATGCCACGGCAATTCAAGACCGTTCGCTGGGCCACGGATATCAAATCAGGAAGCGACGCAGCGCATGCGAGGCTCTGACTCGGCAGCGCGCCCAGAGGCCAAGGCAGATGGGGTGGGCCCTGCAGGAGGGCACAGAAGGCTTCCGGCAACCTTGAGGACAGCACAACTACCCACTCGCGCCCCGCATCCAGGTCTCCACCCTGTCCCAGACTGCAGGTGGGGGTGGCTGCTTGCGCCCAAGAACCCCAAACAGCCATCCTCGGGCAGCTTCCAAGAAGGCCGCAGGGCTGCGAAGTCTTGCCCCCTCGGCGCGCCGCCGACTGCCGAGGCCCCTTTGGACTCCTGGCCCACCTTGTTTCGCACCCCGCGCCGTGCTCGGCGCACTTGCCCTCTGCTGCCCTCGCGCGTCGCCCCCCTGGACGACAACGCGCCCACGGTCTTGAACAGCAGAGACGCTGCTTCAGAAGCCTGGCCCGTCGTCTCCACGGAATCCTGGAGGAAAACCCTGCACTCGCCATCGCTCGGACGTCAATTTCCCGTGCATTTTTCGGTTTCGTGCGAGTTTTTTTTGCTCGATGGAACAGGATCGTCCTCAATGGTTCTCGCCGCGAAAAAATGCACACGTCCGAGCGATGCCAGGTGCACACAGTCACGCCATGTAGTAAGGACGCACGATGAGGGCGCAGGGGCCTCGGAAAGCCATGCCGACACTCTGCGAGCGTGGCGCGGCCGGCGGACGAGGCTCCGCCTTACTATATGCGGGTTGACTGCAGACATCAACTGTCGGGGATCCGCGCGGATCTCTCGGATCGGCGCAGCCTTCCTGGACTGCGTACTGCGCGCGCCAGGGGCGGCATCCGAAGCGCCGCTAGGGAGGGGCCCAGCGCGGATACAATACACATCCGAGCGGGCCTTCGAAGGGATAAAACAAATGTGCACTGGGGGGCAGCAACAAGATCAGGCTGGCTGATTGTGTTTTGGGAAAATCAGAACTGGGGGCGAAACATGGAGAGAGTAGAACATCCTAACCATGAATAATCACCCCAGCAAGCGAAGCCTTTCAGTAAACACACCTAAGGAAGGGATCGAACGGGGCAAGCTCTATCATAAACGCCCAGTGCCGTTTCGTAAACGACATTTAACGGGGTCGGGGTGGTGTTCTCCCATCTGGAAAAAAATGCGAACTGGGAGGGCCCGCGTGGTGAGGGGCGGCGATCGCCCCTTACGAGAATGGCAGGGTCGAGCGATCGACGTCGCGTGTTGCTGCGTTGCTGTCGTTTCCTACCTCGTACCCCCCCGCGCCCCGCCCCGCGATCCGCCCCGCCGCGACACACCTGCGATTCACCCCGCAACCCACCCGCAACCCACCGCGCGATCCGCCCCACGACCCACCCGCGACGCAACCCCCGCCCGCCCCTTGACGCTTATCCGCAATTGCGGTGTGTTGCGTGTTTTGCCTGGCTTGTTTTGCAGGGCAATTGTTTGTCGCCGCCACATTCAGCAATGCGGCAAATTGGTGCGCTGGCGACCACTTGCTATGCCAGCCCCTGCCAAATCTTGATCGCGCGCCGAGGACACGAATTGGTTTACCGAAGGAGTCGTCTACAAAAGAAGGATCGTAAATTTCAGAACTGCGCGCCCAGGGCATTTTGAAGCTGCACCGACGCCAAATCAATTGCAGCAAAGAAAAATGCGGGGGGGGGCGGCTCACGGTGGGCGAACCATTGACCTTGGATCGGCGATACATCCCCGATCCATTGGCGGTAGGCCCTCGATAGCGAGACGGCGATTTCCTGGGCGGGGTCGGCCATCAGGCACCAGCCGGTGATGAACGGGCGACTGGGGGTCAATACGTCCACTCATGGGCCTCTCCTCCCCCGACTGTGCACCCTATGTGGGCCCGTGCCAGAAGCCACTCCGATGGAAGGCCACTCTTGCGCACGCCCTTGGATCGGACCGCGTCGGCCTGGAGTCGGGCCGGAACTGCTGGCCGCGCGCAGGATGCACAGCACTGCCGCGCCAGCGCCGGGCCACACCCGGGCGCACAAGCATCGGAATGGAACCGGGCCGAACGGGCCCGAATCGACACCGGACACCTGGCCGCTACCCTGGGCCATTTGACTTCGCGCACCGCGCCCCGCGATGCGCGACGCGCGAGTGTCTCCGCGCCCTCGCGCCGCCCCCTCAGAGAAAAGGGCAAACGATCGGGAAATCTCTGGCCCAGACCGCGACGCGCGAAACGCGCTGTCATCGCGCACCTGCGGCTTGCAAACTCGGGTCACCGCGGGGGTGGGTGCTGAGGCGAAAGGGGGATATAACTGGACGTTCGGGTAAGAGATATCTGGCTGGACTTGGCTTGAAAACTTGCTAAATCCCACCAGCCCTCTGGGCGTAGGTGGTTTAGGGAGTTTCCTCTCCCATCTTCCCTCCTTCCCCTTCGGGGAAGGGTTTACCGCTCCCCCTAGACCCCTCCCCTGGACTTGGACGGGGGGGGCCGCTGGTAGTTAGAGCGTCCAAAACGGCCTCGGCGAGGAAACCACAATCATCGATTTTACTAGGGTTTGGCCCCATTTGGGCCTCTTGGGGGGGGCAAGGTTAATTAACTCCACCCTCTTTGTTGATCGATCGCTTCCAAGATGGCCCCAAAAGGGCGCCCAGGAGGCCCCAAGAGGCTTCCAAGAGGCCTCCAAGAGGCCCCAAGAGGCCGCCATGAGGCCCCAAGAAGGCCCCAAGAGGCTCCCAAGAGGCTCCCAGGATGGTTCCAAAAGGCCTCCAAGAGGCTCCAAGAGGCCGCCATGGGGTTTTTCTTTACTCCCCCATGCCTGTGGCGGATCCCGCCAACAGGCAAGAACCCAAACTTCTCGAAGATCACGTAGTGCTCACCGTCGTCGCACTGGTAGCTGGAGCCCATCGTCCAGCGGCTTTCCCGTTTGCGGATTCTTGTCCGCAAGAACCCTGCCCCTTTTCTTCCGCTTGGCGTCGTCCTTGGCGCCGAGGCCCCTCCTTGCCAGCGGCCCCGTGCAGGCGACCCCGAGGCCCGCCCGCCTCCGCGCAGAGCACGCCCCGCACACCATGCACACCACATACGGCCCATGCACCTCCACTGTGTGCTGGCGCAGTTCGTCCTCCTGTGCAGGCGCTGCTGGTGCCCGTCGTGGTGGCTCTCCTGCTGGCTGCGCCCCTGCCGCTGCTGCTGCCGCCGCGGCCATCACAACCGCGACGCTCGCCTCCAAGGGGCCAGCCCTGCCTGCCTTGCGCGTGCCCGCTGAGGTCCACGGCGGCGGCTGGCAGTCCGACTCCCAGAGCTTCCTCCTCATGCGCTGTGTAGCGGCTCGCCTGCCGCACCGCACGCACCACGCCCAGCCATTGAACTCCTTCACTGCGTGCCTCGTCAGGGTGACCTGCGGCTTCGGCTGTCGGCGTAGTGGTCGTCCACGTTCCCGCTTCGGCACGTCTGGCCACTCGCCCTCCATCTGCTGGCGCCACCAGCCGATGTTCTGCACTGCCCAGCGCGCACGGCCAGCCAGCTCCTATCGTCTGGTGCTTCCCGTAGTTCGCGCCCATTTCGGCCCCCTCCTTGGCTGGTAGGTCCACCTCCGCGTTGCCCTTCGCAATCTTGAGCTCAATCCCAGTGAGCTGCTCGACCTTCGCTTTGGACCTGTGTGCCTTGACGAGAATCATTCCGTTCACGTCCAGGTCGAGATCTCGTAACTTGTGCCAGATGCGCTTCCAGATGTCAGCGTGCGGCCGCTTCCAGCTGAGGCGCCATCGCTCGCCCTTCTGAAGGCCCTCTATGATGCCCTTGTGGTCCGTGTATATGTTGCCCTCGCCGAGCTTCTGCTCCAGCACCTTGCACAAGGCCCGCATCTCCGCACGCTCGATATTCCTGTGCACTGGGAACGTACACGGCAACGCCCCCCACATCTGACACTTCGGCTTCCCGCTATCGTTGATCGACATGGCCGCCCAACCTGTCTGCGCCCACTCGTAGTGACCGCGCTTGGACCCGTCGCGCACGATGCCTCCCGTGAAGAAGTCTTCGTCGCCCTCCACGGTCTGGCACATGAGCTGGCCCTCGTCGACGCCCTCGAACTTCCAGTCCGCCTCTGGGTGGTGCCTAGCCAGCCCCCGCGCCCAGTGCAAGCTGCCCCCCTGCTGTCCGCCGCGCCCTCAGGGCCTGGCACTTGAAGTACCTGCGGCGCGGGGTGCCCGCAGCCTCCCCGCACCCAAGAGGCCCCAAGGGGCCTCCAACAGGCCCCCAAGAGCCCCCCAAGAGGATCCCAAGCGGCCTCAAGAGGCCCCCCCGAAGCACCCAAAACGCCCGAGAGCCCCCATTGACCGCCAAGAGACCCCCAAGACGCCCGACGAGGCTTCCAGAAGGCGCCCAAGAGGCATCCTAGCGGCATTCAACCATCCATCCAGCGTCATCATTATCCTCATCCCTCCTTCGCTCGGTTCCTCGCCACCCCGTCATCTATCCATCTGGCCTCCTCTTCCGCCTCATCCTTTGCACGGATCGGCTGCCCCTCTCGTTGCTCCCCCACTTCCCTGATCTCTTCAGCTTGCCTGGGCATCGTTCCTGGATGGGCTGGTGGGGATATTTTTT